ACCCTAACTAATTAACTATTCCCGTACCCCCCCTTATACCACTATTTTCGTTTTTACTTGTAAACCCAACTATTACTATTGTCACCGTCCCCCCCTATCACATTGTTTTTACTGTAACCCACATTACATTGTCACCCGCCCCCCCCCCTATCACATTGTTTTTTACTGTAACCCACATTACAATGAAAGTGCTAGAAGGGAGTGATGGCTCACGAAAAATGTTGTTGCTCACAAGCTTTTTATATTCTCTTTATGAAATTTTAGTTAACACGTTAAAAATAATTTACAATGATAGAAAACGTGAATTTGATAAAAACATGGAAATAGTAGCTATTTTTCAAGATCTAAAAACAGTACTAAAAAACGATATTTCTGTCTGTCTGTTTTGTTGTAGAATGAACAGTTGCAGGATCATAACCAGCAAAAGGAAACCAAATTTTTGTTAGAAAGAGACACTGATGTTGAAAAACGGAAAGGTTCCTTAAACGTCCATAATAATGGTCAAGTTAAGAATAAAACATTAAACTTGGAAGAAATGGCCAACGATGACAAAGGCGTGGAAATTGTCACATGTCAGTCAGAAACGGGTGTCATAAAAACGAATGCAAACACAGGTAATGAAGAAATGAAGCAAGAAACAAATGATACAATCAATCGAAACGTTGCCAAAGAAAACCAGGTGGTGTTAACAGATGTCAAAGACCTCCCGTCGATTGACCTGGAACTCCTTGACCAAATACAGAAAGAACTCCAACTTACTTATACTGCTCAAGTAGCAGAGACTGTCCAGCAAATGGAAGAAAACGCATGGGAAAGTGTAACTGAAACTTTGATTCAGTGCGATACAAAAGGTGTAGCTCAAGAAGAACAGATAGAAGTGGATGAAGCGAATGTCGAAACATCAATTTTAGTGAAGAATAAAAACAAAAATGAAAAGTCAGATGTTAATGCTAATGATCCCAAGAAGCCCATACCTTCAGGTAAGTCCCTAAATGTTGGCTATTAGTATTACATCACACAACTTTGTTTCTTTCGTATCCACGACAAGTGTCAAAATGTGCTCGTGCTTTTATAAGAGAGATAAAGTCGTTGTAATGGAAAAAATAATTATGTAGTCAACGTTTCAACTATATGACTTTTATTGTGTTTCCGATAAAGGCCATTTAGCCCAAAAATTGGTTACAATTATTTTTCACTTTCAGCTATATTAATTTTTTTTTTAAATTTGTTGACTTTATCAGGTATTCAAGTTTATAGACGGAATTGATTACGCGTGTGTTTTAGGTTTAGTGTGTTTTCGAAGGGTACGAAGAACACGTAATAGGCTTAGTGTGTTTTCGAAGGGTACGAAGAACACGTAATAGTATCATTATGCAATTCTTAATTTAATCGACTAGTTTCCTGCAATAGATTAATCTTGTAATGTTGATAAAACCTATTCTAACGTTTAAATTAGATTTGTAATCTTGAAAAGAGAAGTATTAACTTGTACCTTTTCTGTACTCCAAGAAACTCCAAAAACTGAAGGACTCCTTAACTTCGATACACCCCTCACCTCTAAAGAAGAAAGCGCAGCCGTAAAAATCCAGTCAGTGTTTCGCGGATTTAAGACCAGAAAGCAGTACACGATGACGAAGATTAACGACAGACATCTGGTTCATTCACAGATTAACCGAAACACTGAAAATAATGCAGACTATGAGCATGCACAAAATTTCACAAAGACAGTTGTGGACGAAGCTGGGATGGAGACGAGAGAAGACGATCACACAGGTCAAGTGGATTATTTAGAACACGAAATATTCCCGCACAAAGTTAAGGATCTGGAAGTGACGTTAGGAAAAGATCAACGAATTAAAATCCATAAAGAAGATACACATTCGGAGTCTACCAGTGAAAATCTAAGATTTGGTAAAAAGTTCGAGTATAAGAACCAGTTGAAGCTGAAGACTGAGGAAAAAGAATTTGATAAAGCTGAAGAAGAAATTGCGTTTTGTGGTTACAAAGTTGGCCGTGAAATGCAACCCGAACATTGCTGCATTAAAAATGTTCACGCTGCTGACACCTGGAAAAACGAAAATAAAGAAGAAAGTATATTAATTAATCAAATGCAAAATTTAGAAGCAGCAACAAACCAATCTAACGATAAAGATAAAAATGATAAAGTTACTTCAAAACTAGTGAAAACAAAAGATCTTCGAATAGAAAACGAGTATAAAAATGATTCATATAATTTATATATTACGCCAGAACAGAAAATCATTGAATGCTTCGGGATGGAAGGCAAAGAGGATGGAGTTTGTTCGATGGAAGGGTTATTCAGAGCTGAACCAATTAAAATATTCAATTTTGATGAAACTGGTCTCGAAGCAAAAGGACTTCTATCCCTTGGAACTCAGGATTGTAAAGGAAATGATTTACAGGTAGATAATGAACAACTAAGGATCTCGACAGGAAACAAAGAACCGTCTGCGCCATCATTTAATTTGTAAAAGGCTCGAGAAGAGCTACATGAAGAAAATAATATATTTGAAAACGTTAGTACTGAGCATTCTGAGAAATAATTATCAAATCTGTTTTTACACTGTTTACTTTCAGTGGGGTCGTATATTCAATCACACTGAATAACTTTGTTTTTAATTAGTGGATGGAATTACTCGTTTTCTGTGTAAAATACATGGGAAACAACAGCGATAATTAATGGGGAAATTGTAATATGTATGGGATTTTGTGTTTACGTTTTTTTGGTACATGATTACTTTACGAAAATGCATTTAAAAAGCCGTTGAGAAATTATCGAGGTAAACATCAGAGCACCAATGTTATGAAATACATTTTTTAAAAAAGAGAAGTACAAGTTTTAGTACGATTCTGTAAGAACATTCAGAAGGTTGGATGTTGTTTCAGCTACAACAGACATCCTCTGCTGAGACCTTCTTTCCAAGAAAGCATATCCAACATAAACTCAATGGCCGATGCTACGGAATTGGCTGAGCCAGTGAATTATTTGGATGAGATGACAGTAAATAAAAATTTCTAAGTGAAGATCCAGTTTATTGAATAGTTCAATAGACATCTGAAGCAAATTCGAAACAGAGTTTCGCTGTAAAACCTGTATAAACTTTGGAATATTTTTTTTTGGCCGTTAACATTTACAATACATTAAGATGTGGTTCATTTAGTATTAAATTATAATATAAATAAAGATTACTCGATTCAATTCAATCACCAAAACTCGCAACAATTTTTACATCCAACAACATATTATTGTACAGATACCACAAAGGAAAAATGGAGGTTGTATTTTCCGATAATATTTTACGAATCAGGTAATAGAGATCACCAAAATTATCAAATGCCAGTGAAACTTCTGCTGGAAAAATGTTTGTAGGTCATTAGAAGTCTAGATGTTAAAATATTCGACGCAGAATATCAGAATGAGGTAAATAGTAATGTACTTCTTATAAGTCAATCCATTGTTAATTTAATAATTAAAATGATTCAACTTCGTCAAAACTATGGTAGAACAAAGGTATGTTTGTATTAAAAAATACCTTTCAAATGCGAAAGTCAATAAACGTTTTTTTAGTGAATACGAAAGATATCTTATTTTTACACTCAAAAAATTATTTCATGTTTGTAAGACAAACCAACCAGAGTAAGGATTACTTTGTAAGCTATGCTAACAGACAGACCATAAGATCTTATCCATAACGGTTAGATATTTACCCAGGATCAATTCTCAATCTGGATGGGGGGGGGGGGGAAGAGTCCTAAGGTAATGGATGTCAAACTGGGAGCCGTCTCAGGGATGGCAAGGAATGTATCGTGGGAGGGATGAGAAAGTTCACGAAAAATTAAAGAAACACCGCTGCTAACTGGGATGTAGTATCTCAGATAAAGTTTACATCTTTGAATGCTTACATGAATATCTGCTTGAATCCGTAGTACACTAAAGTTATTATTATTATTATACAGGTATATATACGTGTATGCGTGTGGGTGAAGATGTCAAGTTCCATAGACAAGAAGGGGAGGGGATGCTCTGTCTAAAATATTTAGTACCATTCATATGCTATAAGATAGTGCTCACGACTCAACGAATCACTTCCAATTGATTAGTCTTTGCTAATTTTTATTTACTGTGCGCGCGCGCGAATGTACGGTGCGTTCCCTATTTCGATTTCAGAAATATTAGGCTTATAATATTAAATTTATCACGTATACGTTCCTTGAATGAAAGCGGTTACGTGCAATGATAATTATTGAAGCAATAAATAACGTCTCAGTATAATAATTCAGTAAGAAGTGGTGGGATAATAACCTAATTAAGGGTGTCTAAGTTTTACATTTATATAGATTATTTGGTGTTTTTGTCAATATGATGTTAAAACCAAATGAAGTATTTCCCAAAAATCTCTTTATAAAGTTAATGCTCGTATTTCAATACAAGTTCAAATATTCTTGTCAAGTGACTAATATTATTATTATTAGAAAAATTGAGTGAAATAATTAGACTCGATAGTTTTTGATTGAGACAACTAATTCAGGCTTTGCATTTGGGGAAAATCAGGTTTGTTTGTTGTTTAAGCCCAAAGCTATCTTTGCTTTGCCCATCGCGAGTATCAAAACCCGAATTATAATGAAATTAGCCCTCACTCTTCATGCTCCCCAGTGGCACAGCGTTATGTCTGTGGACTTACAACGCTAGAATCCGGGTTTCGATATCCGTGGTGGGCAGAGCACAAATAGCCCATTGTGTAGCTTTGTGCTTAATTACAAACAAACAAACAATCAGTCTTGCTGATAAACCACCGGGAAGCCGAATATCGTAACAATCCAATTTGGTACGATGTTTTGGCAGGATATAAAGAGCTTAAATATTTCTAACAAGTTTTATTATTGTTAATAAAAAAAAAACTCGCATATCGTAAAATATTTGGCAAGATATTTAAAGTTCTCGCCCCCCAGTCTGAGAAGCTTACAACGCTAAAATCCGAGTTTCGATACTTGCGGTGGGCAGAGCACACATAACCCATTACGTAGCTTTGAGTTTAATAACAAAAATGTTATATAATTCAGTTTGTTCAGAATGTAAAGAATTCATACTCACTAAATGTAGATTTTTGAGGAAGTTTTTTTTTAAATTTTACGAAATATCTAATCACAAATAGCATGTCTACCCTCCTCCCCTTCACATCTTTACCTATCAAGCATAAAGAAGCTAAATGTAAAAAAAAAAAGTTGTAACGAATTAAAAATGTACCAATAATACCAAAGACTACAATAATAGATTTTTAAATAGTTTTGCAAAACCAGTTACAATTAACTTGTGTACACTATTGTTTAAAAATTAGATATTTAAATCATTGTATTGAAGTTTAAGAGTTTAATAACTTTCTCCAGCAACAGAATAAGTTAGTTGCAAGTTCGACAGTTCAATTTGTACAACACCTACAATTGAACTTTTAACGCATATATTATTGAAAATTTAGTGCTTTAAAACGCAGAAATACTTTAAAGTAACGTAATTTCAAACGTTAATTATACTTACTAACACATATAGGTGTAATATGGTAAAATGCTGGTCGGATCTACACCCTCGTTACTTAATATTCGTGGTTCAACACCCTTCAGTACATATAAATAATACGTGCCCTGCCATCTATTGGAAAATATATTAAACATATAAAATATCTTAGTAGGAATCGAGTATCTTTCTCTTATGCAGATCCTCTTATAATTTTGACTTGCCATTACAAGCTTCACTATCTTACACAATCGGAACTTAAGTATTTAACACTTTCTCAGACAAGGAGTACGAAGTATTGACTTGTACTATTGTAAGGTTTACGAGTTATTTAAAGACTTAGCTATACAAACGTTTATATAAAACTCGAAATACAATGAATCGGTTAAGTTGAATAACACAGCAAACTTGTCTGTCAGTTTTTTTCCCTGTTGGCGAGATAGAAATAAAACTCAGAAATTCATATTATGATAATTAGTTAATTAAATAAGAACGCTCTTCAGTTAAAATGAATGAGACTGTTTATTGAGTAAAAACTTTTTTCGTTTAAACAAGATGAAGCTTTACAGTTACATTGTTAAAATAATTAAAAAAAAACAGCAAATTCTCTGGAAAGAAATCCAATATTTACATAATAAAATATAAATCAAAAGCATCAGATCATATGATAATTTTATGGGATTTTTAAATTTTTATATGCTTACAATTCTAGCAATAAAAACACTTTTCTGGCAAGTAGTAATAAACTACTATACAAGTTAATGGTAGACAATACGCACTTGGTAAATGAAACTAAGATATGTTATTGATGTTTAGTTTGTGTTTTTAAAACGTTAGTTTTATTCGTGTAGTTCTATTTGTTTATTATGTTTTTATAAGCTACAAATAAAGCAAGTTGTTAAAATAAAATTGTTGATGATGTCAAATTATAAGTTATGGTTAGTTTACAAACAAAAACATTTTTTGATACATGATAATTCTATCTTCGGTATATCAAAAAAAAAAATTCTTCTCATCGTATATCATCAAATAAAAGTGATTTCCTCTCGCTGGGATTCAAACAGAAATTACAATAGACTTCTTTCAACAGCTTATATTAACAAAAACTTGGAACGAAGCTATTTAGTTAAACATACTGAGAAATAAGTTACTTTCATACACAAAACTGCTTTATTTTCTAATTTATTAGTTTAATCTTATTTAAAACCAATAATTATTTATATCAGAATGTTTATAATGCTATTTCTCAAGGTTAAACAGACCGAATGCCTTTTGCTGTTTTTATAAAACTGATATTAGTGTATCTAGTTTTAACTGAAAATTAGGAAGACTGCCATTATTAAACATGCGTCTTAAAGCAAACATAATCGGGTTAAAGTTAAGTCATCTTATGATGATGTATTTTACATATTTATACATGTGACCTCTGATATTATCACAGAAAATACGAGTAATGTTGTACAACATGTATGACAAAACACTAAATATTCCAATCAGTTAAATATCGCAGTGCAATAAGGACTTCAACAATTTGGAAACAGAAGACTTGTAGTTCTTCATAAACATTTGGTAAAAAAAAGTAAGCACACTCAGATCGTCACAAAACAAATTATAATTTTGATTTTAGATTGCCAAGTTATTCAATGAAGATGCAACATTCAAATGTGCTAATGTCTCCACTTGGATGATAGCAACACTGAATGTAAAAAACTAGTCCCTGAAAATTGACCCACTATTTCACACTTCAGGTACAAAATGCCCATGAATTCTTTTTAAATCTTATATTTAGCAAGATCTTTAAAGTTCTTATCCCCCCCCCCAGTCTGGTAGAAATGCACATGCCTTTTCCATGTGATAAGTTTTCAGGACAGATAGCTGTGAGTCCTAAAAAACTAATCCCTGAAAATTGACCCACTATTTCACACTTCAGATACAAAATGCCTAGGAATTCTTTTAAATCTTTTCTTGTGATTTTTTTCTAGATAAACTACAAATGTTTATCATTAGAAGAAAGTAAGTGTTTTGTTTGCTCTTTTAGAATGTTAGAAATTGTGAAGGATAATGAAACAAGTTTGAAAAATTCAAATTAAATTGCAAATCCTTAGTCACATCTCTTTGTTTATGAATAACAAAAAAAGAAAATGTAACTCGAAACTTTGCTAAAAATGGAAGTGTAATGAATCATATGTTGTGTTGATCAGTAAAACATATTAAACAGCAATTAAAAAAAATCAGCACAAGACAAAACAAAACAGAATACAATACGTGTAAAACATGTGGACTAAGTGTTAAAATATTTCGTTATGGGATGTAAGATGGAAACTTTGCAAAAACATCATTTGTGCGACAATGTTAAGGAGGAACCAGTCTTGCTCAAATGTGCTGTAAAGAGAAACGAATCACACCATGGTACATTCTAATAGCAGTTCATGTTATGTACACTTTCTGTCACTGAGAGAGAGTATAAAAAAATGGTCTTGATTTAATCTGATATAGCCATTTAGTGATACGCAGATATTTTCTCTAAATGTATCACTGCTCTAAAAGTATTTCATCTCCTAACTCACTGATCTTCGTTATTAAAATTAACAAGTTTCCATACGGCGGGTGTGGTGATGCATCTTGTTCTTGAAGTTAATGCAAGGGTACACTTTCCTTCACCTCACGAAGTGAATTCACAGTTTTATCACCATCTTTCCAGGAAGTCAAGCAACATTTACCGATAGAATGGCATAACATTCTGTAAATACAACCTATTTACAATATCGTCCTAAACCAGCAAACTTCATCACTTTAACAACTACATCCTTTGTAATATACCTTCTGTACATTACAAAATAAATCTTAATTTTCCTTTGGCAACCAAATGCAATAGCTTTTCTTTTACACGATAATTTCACGAACAACTCTACGATTTCGAGAGTTAGGAGTTGAGTATGCACTCTCTAAGCTTTCATCAAAACTTAGAGAGATCTGTTGAGTCTTATCTTCATCACCTAGAGCATAAGGATCTGGGAGGCCACTTACATCATAATATGGTGAATCTGAAAGAGTAAGAAAAAAATTATTTAATGATTTCATTTTGAGTTTAGTTACTGGTTAAAATTATTATTTTAAAACAAGTAACAGCTTTTACAGTAAGGAAGAATATTTTTTTAGAAAAGGCACGATGTTTCAATCATTCCTCAGTTTATTATAAAGCACTAAAAGACAGTTGTGTACTTGAGAATGATCACACGAGGGATTGAAAGATCACACCCGTTCTAAAAAAATAAAAATCTTCCTTACTCTAAAAGCTGCCCCCACGGTGGCACAGTGCTATGTCTGTGGACTTACAATGCTAGAAACTGGGTTTCGATACCCGTGGTGGGCAGAGCACAGATAGCCCATTGTGTAGCTTTGTGCATAATTCCAACCAAACAAACAAACTGTAAAAGCTGTAACTTGTAATCATATTAATGTAAATGTTATTTGTTTACAGTAGTAGACAAACTTCTACATATTAAACAAAACACACTATTAAATTCCAAAATGTTCTGTTCACAACTTACAATGAAAGTTATTTGGAATAATTCTAGAAAATATTTGAAAAATACTTGGCTCCTCTTAAAAATAGTTTTCTTTGTTTGTACAATTACATTATAATCAGAGAAATATTTGAATGTCTTCAAATGTAGTTTATTTAAAGTTGGTAAGTCAAAAATAAATAAAAAGCTTGGATAATTTGCTGAGGATAAAAACCTTTAACATACTTTACTACAGATGGATAGTTGGGAATTTATGTAACTCCCACACTTAGACCTTGCACTTATTCCTGTTTTTAAAGGGAGAAATAAGAATTGCCTTGGAAACTATTAGCGAGTTAGTTTTACTTCTGTAGTGAGAAACAATTCTAGTCTGATAAAAAGACGTTTTACAGAATCACATAATCAAATATGTTAAAAACAGAAAGCCAGCATGGATTCACTAGGGTGAAATATCTTGCTTACTTGTTACTTTGTAATCTGGATGATAGAAAAACTGCAGACTTACATTTTCAAAAAAGCTTTTTGATAAGGTCCCACACAAAGGATTAGCTAAGAAAGTCACATCAGTAGAGGAGGGGGGGGACTAGTTAGATCACAATGTGGTTGGATGGGTAGAAAGTGAAATTTTGTTATTAATGGAGTCCAGTAAAAATTTCATATCTGTTACTGGTGAAGTGCTTGGGTCTTTGTTTTTTTCTTCGTTATGTTAATGATACTGTTACAGGCATAATAAGTAAATTAGTAAAGTTTACTAGGCATTTCTAGCTGTATTGAGAATTTTCAGGTATTACAGAATGAATTGGATTAATTGATAAGTAGGACAAATAGCTAAGTAAATAATAGACGGGAACCCACTCCTGAAGAAAAGGGTCTCGGTATAGTGATTGATGAATAAATCACTCAATTAATTGAAGCAGTGCTCTGTTGCTAACAATAACATAACAATGTTTAGGGACAACAAGGGACCTATTTGTCCATCTTGGCTGTCATCTCCTCTAAACTAAACTATTATAAATTTTAAAAAATATATTAAAGCCAGCCCTTATCATTCATATAGCTCTCAAGCTTTCTCTTAAACTTACTCAAATTTACTGCCTCCACAACATCTAAAGACAACCCATTCCAGAATCTAACCAACCTGTTGGAAAAAGCTTAGTTGAATATGCCTCCTACTCTGCCAAAATGTATATTTGTGTCCCCTAGTCCTACTGTTCTCACCATTAAGTATAAAAAAAAGATAATGTATTAGCACTATCAATTCCCTTTACAATTTTAAACACCTCAATCAGATCCCCCTCTAACTCTTTTTTCCCAAAAGAAAACAATTTTAAAGATCTTAATCTCTCCTCATATGACAACCCTTCTATCCCAGGCATCATTCTAATAACTGCCCTCTAAACCATTTTCAACAATTAAATGTTCTTCCTAAGGTAAGGAGCCAAAGGCTGAACACAATACTCCAAATGTGACCTAACCAGTGACCTATACAATGAAATTATATCTTTAGACTTGTATTCAATATTTCTGTAGATGCAACCTAAGATTCTATTTGCTCTACTGCTAGCAACAGCACACTGCTTAGATGGATTAAGAGATTGATCAACCATTACACCAAAATCCCTTTCTTTCATAACACTATTAAGGTTATTCCCAGCTAAATTGTACTTATAATTAAAATTATGATAACCCAAATGCATTATCTTGCATTTAATATAATTAAAAGCCATCTGCCATTTATTTGCCCATCTCATGATCTAAATCCTTTTGTAAAGCAGCAGCATTCTCTTCACAGCTAGCAACACCCAAGATCTTAATATCATCTGCAAATTTAAGTAATTTATTGACTATTCCTTCATCTATGTCATTGTTGTAAATCAAAGAGAGCAAATCTCCTAAGACTGAGGAAACTTATTTGTGACATTAATCCAGTTTGACTGAACTCCATTTGTAACAACCCTCTGCTTTCTTCCATCCAGCCATTCTTCTATTCAATTGGCTAACTTATCCCCCAAACCTATAGAAATAATTTGTACAAGCCATTTATGTGGTACCTTGTCAAATGCTTTCTCAAAATTCAGATACACTAAATCTACACTCTTACCTTCATCTACATAAGCAGTAACTTTTTCAAAGAATGTCAAAAGATTTGTAAGACAAGATTTTCCCACTGGTGAAACCGTGTTGACTATCCAATAAAATTCTAAACTTTGGTAAATGATTTTGCAAAGCATCTTTTGTCAGACTTTCCAAAACTCTTCCCACAAATGATGTAGGACAAATATAGCTAATAAAATTTTAGTGTGTACTTATACACATAACGAATGTAAGTCAAAAGGAGGTAATTATATTTTTTTTTATACACATCACTAGTTAGTCCTTGCTGGAAATACTGTGTACATTGGTTGCCTTACTTAAAAAAAAGAAAAGATTCAGAAGATGGCTACAAGGATGATTCCATGGATGGGAGGGTTATCCTGCAGATGCTGATTAAGATCTCTTAACCTTTTTCCTCTTGAGAAAGGAAGGGTAAAAGGTGGTCTTATTAAAGGTTAGGAGCATCTAGAGCACTGATAGGATAAAGGCATCATTTTTATTTGTGCTGTTTTCTGAAGATAAAAGGATGAAAGGATAAAAGTTGAAGATTTGGAAAAGAGAGTCTATGCTTCAGTTAAAAAAAGTTGTATTTTTCTATCAGCATGATTAGCTTATGGAAGAAGTTTCCATTTTCAGTAATGGAGATTAGCAACTCACAAAAAAATGGAATTTATGATTTCCTGAAAAATAAAGTGCAGGTTTAAGTTTACCATTTCTTGGGGTTGAATGTACAAGGACAGCCTAAGGACCAAATGTCCCCTTTTTGTCTGCATGTTACATTACAAAAACCACCCAAAGTCGCATGACATACCCAAAGTCTCAAATAATATGGTTATAATGATTATACCCAAACAATGTAATCCTTGCCAATATATGTTTGGAAGTACAAATTATTTATGCCTGAAAAGCTGAAAAAACCATTTTTTTTTTTACAATAGAACATTCTATAAAGCAAGAATTGCACATAAACAGTCTCCTCATCAGGTATGCAAAAATGGTTTTAAATTTCTAGGCCTAAATTAAAAATGAGTTAATGATATCTGATGTAGATTGAATCTTTAATTCTTATTAAGTAGTATAATGTTACTTGTAATAAAGAAACTTGTATTACTGAAATAACTACCTCGTGGTTTAGTTTAGCTTTTTTTACATTTTATTAAATACATAAATTTTTAGTACTAAGCTTGTAGTAGTTGAAAAAAGGAAACTAATAAAATGGACTTTAAATGAGCAACCCACTTTTTAGAAAATATAAGATTGGAGATGGCTTGACTGGGTAATTATAAATGTACGACTTTTCGACAAGATTAGGTCACGCCGAGAATGACAATCTTTCTGAAACATTGTACATTTATAATAAAGTTTTCTTCATTATTCAGTCAAACTATCTTCATAGTTTTAAAATGGTTTTTAGTTTGCTGTGTCCATTTTAGCAGAATACCGTACGTTAGAATCTGTTACTGATTCCTTCTTACACTAAGCCTTTCAACTTTCATGCTTACGTAAATGCTCTCTGTTTTTCATGTTCATCACATCCTCGGTAAGTGGCTGGTAATCCTCTGCATAGTAATAGCCATTAGGTAGTCCACCATCATAGGGGTGGTAGGAACTTTCAGGGGGTATATCTCCTCCACTTTTCATCCACAAATCTGAATGGCTGTCATTACCATTTGATTCTTGCTCTGGCAAGTATATCATTCCTAGAAATAGGGTAGAAGATATAATAATAAGTTCTAAAACATTATGTGCATTTCAATACATTTCTTACACAGTTATTAGTGTAAAGGTTAGAAACTGTTTGGTTAAAAGTTTTATAAACATGGACAAAGTTAATTAATTTTATGGGGTGGGGCAAAAGTTACTGTATATTTGGTACTCTAGAAAATATTACAAAGGGAAATGAAAACAATATAATTATTATTTTTTTAGGCATATGAGTTAGAAATTAAATTAGAATTATGTTATAAATGAAACAACTGTATTAACTTTTTGTCTCATCCTGTTTACATTTATATAACATGTAAATCCACATACATCATGTCTAAAAAGTTATAAAACAGTTTATTTTGTTTAAATACTGTTTGGACCTCAGTTTAAGTAGAATATTTATCAGTAGTTAAAACTGTAAGAACATATAGTTTTGATACAGAGAAGACAACCAGAAGCTGTTGAAGATCTTATTTTGAATAACTAAGATGAAGAAGAAAAAAAAAGGTTAAAATAATGGTTTCAATCTCGCAGTATTCACAGAGAATATTTTATTTTTCTGAAAAACAAACAAACGAAATTTAAGTTAAAAGTTGCAAAGTCACATGTACTGTGTTCTCCGATTCATAGGTTTCTCTGCATGCAGCACCTAGTGGCACAGCGATATGTCTGCAGACTTACAATGCTAGAAACTGGGTTATACGTGGTGGGCAGAGCACAGATAGCCCATTGTGTAGCTTTGTGCTGAACTTCGAACAAACAAGCAAATTCTCTGCATGTAATGAGTAAGAAATGTAGAATAACAGGATTGCCAGAAAATCGTTTGCATAGTGAAAAATCTGAATTCTCTAACCTATTTTGGACAAAAGCTAAACACTCTGTATTTCAAACAAGCATCAATGAAAGGTGAACAACAATTATATCTATAAATCAAGTGTTAAAATCTGTATATATATATATATCTCTATTAAGAATCTAATCTTGTTACGGACAGAGAAAGTATGGCATTATATACAAAAAACAAAATCCCATTCTTCTCAAGAAACAGGTGCTACCCACGTGACTGACAGTCACTTTCACTACAATATAGATGTTATATTTTGGAGCATCACCTGACTTGCTAGTGGAAAAGATCACCTCTTTTCTATACAGTATGCTTGATGTTACAGCAATCCTTCCACAACAACTGTTGCTGAACGACCTAGTTCCATAAATAGCTTAGTAGGTGCCTTCAAATATGCATACTGCATTATAATAAAAATGTGCTATTATGTCATGTAAATTTGGAATCATCCAAATTTACATGACATAATAGCATATAATTTTTATTATAATGCAGTATGCATATTTGTCACTATCAAAGTGACAAATATGCATA